ATTATTTGTTACAATATTACTATTACATTATATTATATTATATTATTATATTACGAGTTTAAATTTTAGATTGGGAAGATTGTAAATTTTAAATTTTATTAGGGTTATTATGGGTATTATGAAAGTTTTATTAATTGTACTATGTTGATTCCCGTACAATTTAAAAGCTAAAGTTGTCTTTAGATTGCTTCTGATTTTGACTGTAGATTCTTTAAAAAGCACTTTTGAAGAGATTTACTAAACACTAAAATCAGCTTTTACTACAAGCAGAAATTGATTTTGGGAGTGAAAAGTAATACCAAACGCAGCCGTAGTGCCATAGGTTTTGTTCGCTGAAGCACTTACCATTGTACTTTAGAACACGTACAAAATCGAATTTACAAGTTTTTATAAATAAAATTTAAAAAAAAAGAAAAAACAGTCTTGTGAAATTCAGGTTTACAAGTCGTGTTCGTGACAAATTCTAATGTCAACGATACATTTATAAAACGTGTAAAAAAATATCAATTTAAACATAACATATTTATTACACGTAGTTGACACAGTTAACCTATATAACACGTTCAAATTAATATGTAATTAATTTAATTGACACAATCACAGTACATTTCTCACGATTGTGGCACATTTGATACGATTATCACACATTTAAACGTGTATTGATCAATTTCTTCTTTTTATTTTCAAAAAAATAAATTTAATCACTAAATTCAAAATTTACATCGTTTTATTAAAAAGAATCACACCGTTTCTATTTAATATTATATAAACTTTTAAATTATATCATATCTATAAAAAAACTAAACAAAGAATGATACATATAATTTTTGTGTCGATTGAAATTACTTCATATTAGAGAGTTAACCGAATACGATCCATATATTAATTATATTAATCATATTAATCTGATTATTATAAAACTTATTTATCATAGACCCAATCATCTAAATTCGAATTAGGTGTCATGATCCAAAATATTACTGCCATGGTCTCATTAAATATAAAAACGGACTAAGGTCTCGTTCATTTTATCGATTCGTGTTTTTAATCTTTTAAAAAATATCACATTTAATTTTTTTTATTATAGTAAAAAATTTTAAAAAAATATCACATTTTAACTTAAATTAAAAACTCAAATTCGTAAAATGAAGGAGACTTAAAAATGACATTATCCTGGAGCCGAATTCCAAATGTACATGACATAGTGCCTAACTATTAGTCAAATCAAGAGGAAGATAAAGCTTACTCGTTTAAAACTTTGTCGTATTAGTCTGTTCGACAGTACATGAATATATGGTTTTCAGTCTCGTTGATTAATGCACCCATCAGGTCATATAAGACGTATACATCGAAGTGTGAAACGAATCTCCTCAATCTTGGAAAAACGTTTTTCACATGTACTACTACTGCGCTGTAGTGCTATTGCTACTTCTTCAACAACTAAGAGGTTGTTCTTTTTTAGTATAATTTAAGTGTAGTTTTTGAGTTGAATTTAAATTATAATTTGAGTTGAAGTTATAACTTGAATAAAATTGAGTGAAGTTGAATAAAGTTAAAACTTAAAAGAACGTGAACTTGAATAAAATTAAAACTTGAGTTGTCTTTTTTTGAAATTTTTTAGACAAAAGAACATGCCCTAATATATTCAGTTTAATATGGCTTAAAGAAACAAACACTTCGGGTCGTTTGGTTGTAGTCAGAAAATAGCACGGGAATAGAAATGAAAATGATAATATAGTAGAATGCAAATGAAAGATGATTCATTTATTTGGTTTTACTTTTATAAATACAATAGAATAAGATATGAATATTTTCATGTTGACAAATATCATATATATTAATATGATCATTTAATAACTAATATTATATATATAAAATTATAAGGATATAATATATATAATTATAATTATAGTTATATAATTATTTATTAATATAATATAATCATAATATATAATATAAAATGATATATAATATAATAAAATAATGATATTGTGATTATTTTATATTATAATGTTACAACTATGCTATATTATATTATTAGAAATATGGT